AAAAAAAAGTAAATATACTAAAAAATAACAATATATTTTCCTTCTTTTTTAATTTTTAAAAATTTAAAAGAATAGCTATGTTAGATTCCAAGAACATTAATAGAATTGCCTGTAAATATCCTAATCCAATTATTTGCAGAATAATTTTTAAAGAAATTATCTTCATTTTTAAAAATTTTTTTTCTTTTTAAAGACAATGCTTCTTATCTAGCTACAGACAAATTTAGGATAATTTCACATGTATTTTATCCTACATTGTTTATACAAATAAATGCATCCATTTTAAATTAGACAGTTTTAAAAAGTATTGTTTAATAACATTGAGAATATTTTTCCCATCACACATGTTTACTACTGAAATTAAAACTGGTATTTTCCAAATATCCAATCCAGATTAATTTTGAAACTTGTCAAGATAATCTTTTTGATAATATTATTTTAATGAGAGAGAGAGAGAGAGATAAAAATAAAAAAGAATTTAAAAATTTTCTAAAGAATTCTAAATTATATTTTTAATTCAGTCTTTAAAGCTTCTTTGTTCACTCTTGTAAGTAATATAAGCAAATATTTTCTGTCTTGTCTACAATAAAAACGAAAAAAAAAAAAGAGGCTTGGAGCAATACAACTTTGATATTAAAATGTGAGAAAATATTTAACATATTTTCATTTTAAAAAAAATTTTAGAATAGAAAGAATATTAACATTTCTGAAAAAACGTTTTTAAAAAATATTGGAAAAAAAACTCATATGAACAAAAGTCAAGGAAGAAATGAGAATGGAAAAATTTAAGTATAATGTTCAAACTTGGCAAAAGAGTAAATTTTTTAAAAAAAAGGTAAAGATAATGTTTATGTCTTCTCCACAAAAATTATGATGATTTAATATTAATTGGCCAGAATTTAATAAAAAAAACAATCTTGGAATATTTTTTTTAACAGAAAACGATTATCTTTTGAGAATGAGGTGTTTAAATCATTGTATATGGTTTTGTTCAGACTAATTTCCTCATCATTGTTGCTTTTTTTTCACAACATGAAAAAAATAAACAACAAAAACAAGAAAATTAGTCCAGGAAAAAGCACATGCAACAATTATATTTTTATTGCTGTAATTCTTATTATAAATGATTTAAATAACAAGAAGATTTTATCAGGGATAATACTTTTAATGTTAGATATGATAGAGATAAAAAAAGAAACTGATATGAATTTTCATGCAATCATAGAAAATGTTTGGTCACTGTTGAATCACAGGCATTACCTGCATACAAATCATATATCAATATTCTGAAAACATGATCATATTTTTAAAAATAAAGAATAATTTTTACTTTTTGATGAATTCTATTAGCTAAAGTAAAAATAGAGTAAAATCTCTCTTTGTAAAATCAATTTTTGAGGAAGCCAATATATCTGCATAGAATTTTTTAAATTTTTGCCTTAAAATATTAATACCATGTGATTTGATAAGAAAACGAAAACTATAACTATAAAAAGTGAAAAATATATTCTAAGAATCTACCAGGATCACATGATGTGGTCCATCTAATATGCTGATTTGTTAAGTAATCACATGACAGAAACCTCAATCCATAATATGCATCTAAACTTAGGTTAAATCTTTAACACATGATACTGACTGAGGTCTTTTTTTTATGTTTATACTTTGGAAATCTCCAATGTAAAAGGAGCATAAATATTAATTCAAAAAATCATGAAAGAAAATGGCAGGTACATTTGTCTAATGAAAGATAACTGAAAGCTCAGACCACTGAGAAAAAAAAAAAAACATCTCCTGAAATAACTTAATTGTGAAAAACCTCAAATCTAAACAAAAAAATAGTAAATAAAAAAGAAAAAAAAAGATACTTTCTGACAAACTTTGAAAAGCATTTTTGGTACAAGTATTTTTCAAAAAAAGTGTAAACCTCAAAACTTCCATACAAATATATTTTTTTTTAATCATTTCACTCCAAGTAAGGCAGTAAAGCCACTAAGAAACAAGGGGGTTACTGAGTGTTAAAGAATAAGAAAAATGAGAAACATTATTGAGTAAGAACAATAAAAGAAGAGTAATCAAGAACACAGTAGATAATGATTGACATTGTATTTAAATTTTTGAAGATCAAAGTTGGCTGGAAAGAATGAAGCCAAAAGAGAATTCCACAAATGAGAAGTGCAAGAAAAGAAATTGTTAGCATAGAACTTATGGTTACTTCTAGCCAATTCAACTGTAATTTGATGAAGCCTTGTTACCAATCAAGTACTGTGCTTAAATTCATAAAGTCTAAGTACTATAGTGGAAAGTTAATCTGAACATGAAAGCATTTATTGAAAAGACACCAGGAAGCTATACGACAACAGTGGGAAAGTGAATGAAGCTGGGATGCCAGGTCAGGACCAGAAATATTGCTAATTTTTCTTTATATTTTATCAAGAATCTCTAAATATATTGCAGGAGCATGGGAACATATGTGACAACAATATTCAAACCAGGAATGAATGGTGGACTTATAAATATGTAAGGTAGATTGTGAAGAGAAAAATTATGACTTTCTTAGCAGCAGACCAAACAATTGATTAAATATAATCTTTCCACTTCATGTGAGCTAAGAATGTTAGCCCGAGTAGGAGCAACTAGTTCCTCTCCTGGTGGTTAGTATCTGCCATGTTGATGGGAGGCAGAAAGGGCTGTATCAGATGATTAATAAAGGGAAGTTTTGTTTTGGAGGTGTTCAATTTAACAAGGCATTCTATGACCCAGTTAACAACAGAGTGTAGGTTATTTTTTAGATTAGCTGCCAATTTGACCTGCACAAAAAAGATGACTAAACCTGTTAAAAAAACTAGTAAAGTACTGATATCAAATTACTTTGGTTGTCATGATGCAATACCAAACTCATCAAAGACAGAGATTATTGGGTAAGGTATGTACCCGACTCTTCTCCCTTAACCTATGCATTAATTTGTGTCAGTAAATCATCATTATCTTAAAAAAAAATGTTAAATCCAAAAATATTTTGTACTGATCCTTCAGAGTCTGTTTATATTTCTGAGATGAGGTATTATGTACATTATTTACATTATTCAGACTATTATCCTCATCTTTGTTGCCATATTTATCACAACGTTTCGGCCGTTGTATGCTCCGGCCTTCTTCAGGTGGTTGGAATTTTGAACTGACCCCTTTATTTTGCTCACTGGGGTAGACTGTTCTAGTTCCACGTGCCATGTTTGATGGATGTCAGTTATCAGTTATCTCCTGCTAATTTCCCTCTGAAAGTTCTCCACTGTCTTAACCAGGTATTGAACTCACACTCTTTGGGTCCTGTCACTGGATCTAACCAACGCCTTTATCCCCTTGAGGACACATGGCACAGTGAATAAAGGCGAATAATGTAAATAATGTACAAAAATATATTATGGCTTTAAATAACCCACAAAAGGTTGATAAGCCATAAAAAAACAAATCAATTAATCAAAGACAGAATTCAATGAAAACTGCTAAGAAACTAAAATGTTATTTCTAAATTTTAAGCATTATGAACAAGTTAACCTTGTGCCTGAATTAAAAGCTTCTTTGTAGCATTTACTTATGTTGATAAAAGGTCAACAAAGTAGAATTAAAATACCCACTGACAGCAAAAGGACAAGGTCAGATGTAAAACTGTGAGTAAAAATTCTGATCTTAAAAACAAATTACTAGGAAAACATTGGGCAGTCAAGTCAATTGACAAAATAAATCCTTTAAGTATAATCTGACTCACTTAATTTCTCTCTAAACATTTTTTGATATAAAGTTCAGTATGAAGATCAAACATCAAATTTTTTCATCACAAACCAAACACTCTTAGGTTTTCATAAATTGCCTCAAGACTCAACTGAAAATTTTGCTTGCAAAATCTTTACAAAGTTATTGCTGTTTATCTTTGAAAATCATTTTTTTTTAGCGTAATGTTTGCTATAATTCAATTTCTTCAAAATGTGGTGTAAAAGAAATTCAAACCATGAACATATTAAAGCAAGAAACTAATTGTTTCTATATTTTATATATTCATGTATCAAAGTAGAATTTAAAGGATTGCAAATAAATACATGTGTGTATATATATTGTTGTTCTTAAATACAAAACACCAGCAACAAAAAGATAAATATATTTTCACTTCCAAAAACCATGATTTTATCTATGAAAACATTTTTTCTTCTTCATAATAAGTAATGCTGTATTAGCATAGTTTAAATCTTTAAGCCAATCATATAACTAAAGAAATATATAATTAATATGGGCCAATTTTATCATTATTATATAACTTGATTGTTTTTTAATTTGAATTCTTCCAGTTCGTAAAGTCTTGATAATAATATCCCAAGATCTTTTTTGATATTAAATCAATTTCCGATGTACATGTAAATAAATGATTATTATCTCAGAACAAACACAAAATGACAGAAAGAATTGCAAAAAGGCCAAAACTTTGAAAAAGATTAGCATTTTTTAAATTATTAATTGAAAGTATAAATATCAAGTTATAGTTGTTAAATGAAAACCAGTTTTACCAGCTATGATCAAATGAACAAAAAATAGACAATAATTATGAAAAAAAAATTACTTTCCTTTGTAACAAAAGAAAGAAAATTTCTCTTGTTTATCAAAAACAGGAGAAAGTGGCGCTTTTTCCCTTATTAACTGTTTATAGATTTCAATTTCTCTTCTTTGGCATTAGAAAACCTGATTTCAGGTCATAGAATGTGTATTGCTGTCTCTTTTTGAATATTTGATGCTTTCAATTTGTGGCATGCCAAAGTAAATAAGCATTAACAAAGATTGAGTGTGAGGAGCTATTCTAAACAGAATCAACTCACTGCATGGCAATATTGATTAAGACTTACTCCCCCAGATAAGGTCATTCAGCTAGAACAGCAGCAAGACCAGGAAACAGATCAAAGGACATGCACAATAATCTATTATCTGCTGGACATGTTTGATGAATCTCTCTCGAGTCAGAAGAAGAAGAAGAAGAAGAAGAAGAAGAAGAGATTGTTCTCATGCCAAATATCTTTTGAACAGGCTGCTGCAATTGTTAGCCTTTGAACACTGAAAGAGTCACAGTAGTAACTTGTATAATGTTTTGTGTTTTATATCATTCTTGTATCCCATAAACATGGCCCAGTGGTAGAATAACATAATGAAAGTTACAAGATTTATGGTTTAATAGAATTGAATATGTGGAATCAAAATAATTAAGACAAAACACACAATAATCTATAATGATATAATGAGTAAAAAAAACTGTTCTTTGATTGTCTATTGGTAGACATGATAAACATAGATACGAATGTTTCCTGTTGTCTCTGAATTGACTAAATTTACATCAACAAGATTAGTTAATGTGTGAAATTCTTACAAAAGGAGTCACTGATTTCTGCTCACTGTTATAATGCCTGTAATCAGTGTACTAAATTCTGTGTAATTTCACACACATTAATGATAAAAATGCTTCCGTGAGAAATAATATTATTGTTCTTATTTTTATATTTTCCCTTGTAATAAAATCTCAGTTGATAAAATAAATCTGTATGCAAACAGATAATTTAGAAAGGGATTAAAATATTAAATTTATCCAGGGTGAAGCAAGATTATCTTGTTATAATGAAATGGCTGATAATTAACACAAGGCTGCTTCCAGTTGGAAGAATGTGTAGACCAACATCAAAAAGAGAGAATGGCCAATAAACTTAAACAGCATTTACCCAATTTGCTTTTGAATTTTGGTTCTACAAAGGTAAGCAAAAAAGTCCTTGCCATTTTTTACGTGTAGTAAGAATTGATCACTGATATGCAAATGAGTGGGTCATGTGCTTAGAAAGTGGTGGGGTGGGGTGGGGTGGTGTCACTGCTCTTGACCAATGTAGGTCATTACACATGCACACAATCACACACACATCAGTCATAACTTGAGCAGTGGCAAGAAAAAATGATGGTATTGAAGCAGCTTGTTCGGGGTTATCTGGTTGACTATAAGACGACCTTTACACTCATGCAAGATCATGCTCTGTATCTGGTTGACTAGTCAGCAAGTGGTGCACTATGAGCTGATACCAATGGGACAAAACCATCACTGTGAACCTGTACATGCAGCAGTTGGAATGTGTGCAACAAGCACTGAAACAGATGGAGCCAGTATTGGTTAAGGGCAAGGGGGTACTGTTCCTCTATGATAATGCCAGACCTTGTGTGTCGCGGATGGCCAGGGATACCATACAGCAACTTGGCTGGGTGACACTGTGCCATCCACAGTACTCTTCAGACCATGCACCAACTGATTACTACCTCTTCCATTCACTGGACAACCACCTTCCTGGAAAATCTTTTGTAAATGAGGCAGACTTGCAGCAGGCACTCACAGATTCTTTATGTCCAAGATGCCTGATTTTTACTGCCAGGGCATTGTGCTGCTGAAGGCATGTTGGCAAAAGGTTCTGGATGCTGATGGAGATTACTTTGAGGACTAATGGTATGTCTAATTTACTGTATACTTTCTTTTTCTTTTCTAATAAATCAAAAATGGCAAGAACATTTTTGGTTAACTTGTATTACAGCCAAACTGCTCTCTGGTAACACAAACATAATTTCTCCAAGACTACATTTGAGCTCTAGTAGATCAATAGACTCCTACAGTGAATAGGGAAGTAATAGCCAATGTTCATATATGTCAGCATATAGCATAGAAAACACCTCATAATAAAACAGCAACTCCATAATTACTACATTAGCTCAATAATCTATAGAGAGCAAGACAGCATGTAGCTGAATTTAGTAAGAATATTTGCATCCATATAAATGTATAAACAAGGGAAAGGACTAAAATAGAAGAGCCTTCAATACATATACACAACAGCAAAGTAAGCAGGTTTTTAAAAGAAGTCTTTCACACATGTAAATCTTGTAAATGAAGAACATGTTTAAATATTAAAAAAATAAAAAACAATACATTATACCAGGGCCTTAAAATATAGAAATATTAATTTGGCTGGAAGATGAACAGAAAATACATGGGCGGTATCAGAAAAAAAATGTATTGATTGAAATTTGTATAAGTGGCAAAAAGTCATAGAAAGATTAAAATGGGACATGCAAAAAGGAAATCTAGTTTGTAAGATAATTTATTGCAATTGATATTCCCATGTGATATACTACATCTGTCCCATAATAACTGCTATATTTAGTGTATGAAAATTGTATGCAAATATAACAGCTATTATGAAACAGAAAGTAAAAATACTACCTCTACCCTATAATAGTTGTTATGCTAAATATAACAACTATTATGGGATAGAGGTAGTTTATTTTTCTGTTCATTTATAGTTGTTGCATTTGTATAGAAATGTAATGACTATTATGGAATAGGAAGTTAAAAATGCTCTGTCCCATAATAAAAATAATGTATGAAATTTGTCCCTAAATAGTTGTTGCATTTGTTACATACATAGCCATGTTTCTTTTTTGCAGCAAGACCTGGATTAATTTTATACAACATAAGGTGAGTCATGCCTGACAAAGGATTTGTCTTAATGATTTGAGGCAAGGTTTTACAAGATTGGATGCTGTTCCTGACACCCAACTCAGATGCTCAAAGTAGTCCAAGAGTACACCAAGTGTATACCATCTCTAGGAAGATAGATAGATACACACACACACACAAGTTGACTCCTATAAGAAGCTCATCCACCTTTGACAGGTCTTGTTTTATGTCTTGTGGGGTGACATACCAACATCCTCACCAGTAGAAAAGTTAGTGGGAGAGATGGTTTAGGGACCAGCTACCCGTACATGGGGCAGGTTTTACTGAGTTACAGGTTATAAGTAGCAGGCCTAAGCTTGACCTGAGAGGCTAATTAAAATAAAATAAAAAGATAAACAGTAAAAATGGATTCTGTATTTGGACCCATTATTTTGAGAAACATTTAACTTTTCATTTAAGCATTTTTGGCATCTAAAAATAGCATCAGGTTTACATCTGATATTATTAACCAATTTTCATGTCTATTTTTTAGAAATGTTTAGCATTTCAAGTATCATCTGTTCTTTCTGATTTTCCCCTAATGTTTTTTTTAAATTTCTATCCATGATTGATATCTGGTTAAATAATTTAATACAGCAGGTCAGTCAGTCAGTTATGTGCGATGCAAGATACATGCTGAGACGATCATGTATCTTTCGATACATGACTGATGAGGCAGGTTTTTTCCTGCAGTAGGTTGCCATTTCGTTCTACGGTAGACCAGTTGCCATCCAAGGCTAATTTGAGCTCCAGTTGAATCCATTATATTCAATTACATGCAGGTACAATTTGAAAATTTTCCATTTTAGCTTACCTTTGAACAGTTCAGTTTAAGACACTTTGTGTTATTAAAAAAAATAACAAAAGAAAAAAACACTGCTGTCAGGTTTAAGTGCATGTAACAACTTAGTTATCATCCAGACATATAAACATAACCTTTATAATAAGTATTGGCAATAATAAAAATATGCAACTGTAACGAGTATTATGGTCCAGATGAAGTATGTTTTCGTCATGTTCATACTGATTATTAATCATTAAGAGCAAGCTCTATTGAAGCATACATATTTTCAATTAAAAAATTTGGCTTCACACTACGATAAAGTTAAAATTTAATATAATGTGCTTGATCCCCAGGAAGCTGTTCCCCCAGGCATGACCTCTCTTTTGGGAGAGACTAGGGTTAATCTCTGGCATTTGAGGCATCCCTAAAGAGGAAGTACCAAAGTGTTTTGAGCAATTTTTGCCCTTGATTCTATATACACATGAGAGTGCTAAACTTGGCCATGTGCCACATTCTATATGAGCATTTATGCAAACAAATACCTCTAACATCGAACATCTAATTCACAGAGGCGCAAACAGGATGTGATTTTGAAAAACTAACTTTTACTAAGATTTACAACAGAAGACTTGTTCCGTGCACAGAAACTACAAAGTAAAATTTCCTTTCTGTTACCATTTATCTATTTTTATCTCATATGTACACGCATAGATAAAGATATGACAGTTGAATAAAATCTAAGCTCAGCTTTACAAGTGGAATTGATAAAGATGGAGAGGAGACGTAAAATATCTCCCTCAAGATCTTTTGGTAGACATAACTCTACAAATCATTTTGCATTAAAATAACCGAGAATCATTAGATACAAAAGCACATTTTCTTCATGTGCTTCAAACAGTAATTGCATGACTTATCAGGAAAACTCAAAAAGTCTGTTATCTGTGAATTGATTCAAGAAGAAACATTCAGCCTTTGAGCCACAAATCAACAAGGGGATGGGGGAAAGAATAATAGTGTAAGTAGCACAACCATTTCTACTCACCACATGTTCTGAATCTTGAATGCCTTCTCCTGGCCGACCAGTGGAAACTGCAAAGAATGACAGAAATCAGTTAAGGTCACCAAATCTCACCTTGTGTATGGGTGTAGTGAAGCAACAAAGTTACTGACAATCAAGCATTTACCATAAATGTGTTGTCAAGCAGAAATCTGACAACCATAAAATAGGCAACTTAACTCCAACATTTTCAGCTTCCTAATTATGCAAAGATTGACACCACCCCCTTTGCTGAGACTGTGATGTTCCATCCAACGGTTCTGCTGGTGTTGCAGATAGCTTCTACCAATGATTATGAACCATAAAGGCCTACAATTATTGTTCTTTAAATAGACTAACAAATGCAACACAAGAAAGAGAAAGACAGCAATATTTGAGTTATGCATAACACAAGAGTAACCAATGCCATTGTAGATACAGACACTAAAAAATTGAGAGACTTTGATAAAGTCAGTATTGGGACTTAAGTACATGGCTTTGTTATATAGTTTTCTATTATCTTTATAAGCTAATGTTTAAACTTTTCAATATAAAAAAAAAGAGGAATTTGAATAAAACTGACTGAAAGATCATAGGCAAAAATCATGATAATCATTTCTTCTTTACCAATTAAAGAGCCTGTAGCAGTGGACATAACAGTTTGTGGCTTTTTAGATATAAATTTATAAAATAACTTGTAATAATCCATTATCCAAAGTTAACTGTAAAAAAAAATCTCTTTACTTTTGAAGCAGACCTCACCAAGTACCTATTCACAAAGTGAATAAGAATAAATGAATTTAAAAGTCCATTATATTCTGTACCCTGTCCTTTTCAATATGTGCCATTAGTTTGTTAACAACAAATCTTTTATTTCATTAGTTCACAATCTTTCAAAATACAATATTTCAAAAAATGTTCAGCTGAGGATTATCAACAAAGAAACTGTAGAGATTTCTTTTTCTTTTAATAAGGACAATTTTTTTTTCAGATCTACAGAACTTTTAATTAATGTAGATAAGACTCATCAGGTGTCATTAAATTTCTAGTTCAAAATTTACCAGAAAATGATTAATGATTGCTTCAAAAAGATTCATTTGTCTTCAGATTCATTACAAAGATAAAAAAGAATATTGGTTAAGAAAGTTAAAACAAAAAAATAAAAAATCTAATATTCAGCCTCTCTGGGGTGTTTTTCTCTCTTTTTATCAGAAAAAATTAATTTGTAAGAGTATTTGCTTGAGCACTATTTACAACAATGGATGAAAAATTGAATGTGGCAAGAATTCATTTAAACACATTTAATTAAAAAAGTTCTTTTTATTTCATTTTTTACTGTATTTTTACAATTTTCCAATCAGTTGTTTGACGTCTGGATTTTGATGAAAAATGCATATTTAGATACAGATTTAGATATTTATTATTACTGAAATTTCTTTCTTTCTCAAAACTATTTGGAAATTTTATTTTTTATGTGGCGTTAAATCATTTTTTTTAAAGGTCTACAGATAATTTATAGTGCTTATTTCTATTTTAAATGAAAAACTGTATTTAGAAATAATAAACTGAGTGTTGGAGATTGAAGTGAAGATGATTTTATCATAGAACAACACTTGTCAATATGTGAAGAGTATAACTAAAAAGCATATTTGGATATGAGTAAAGTTCAAATAAAATATTAAATCATAACATTTTGTAATTTTTATCTTTCAAGTTCGAAAATGATGTATAAATTGTTTTTACTAGGGGACAAATATTTTACATTTTAAAAGAACAGTGATTATTAGATTTTTAAATTATTCTAGATTACCCTGAAAATTATTCTAGATATTGAAAAAGAAAATTTTAATAGAAATAGGATTATCATTGAATTCACAACTTTGGAGATTATGCTACCTTCTGTGCAAAAGGGAAACTATTTTGGAATACTCAGATTTTCTTTTATTTGTATGAAAATAAGTAAATAAATAACAGATATTACTCTATACTCACAATTTAATAGTTGTCTCCTTTGAAAATCACCCCCCACCCTATCTGTCTAGTTTTGTGCAAGTAAAAACTCTAATATTAGCATTCAGTTACAAATAAGTTATCTTGTATTCTTTCTATTAGCACATGTTAGGTGTACCTTAATTCAACCTCTGGCAACAACAACAACAACAACACTATTAAAGCTTAGACAGACATAAAATTGGACTTGTATTATGTAAAAAAGAAATAGCAAAAAGGTAAAAATAATGCAACATTATCAAAAAAAAAAAAAAAAAATAAATTTATTTTTGAAATTATATTATTTTTGTCAGGTTTTATGCATGTGTTTTATTTTATGAATCATATATTCTATTTTATACTTCTCTTTCATTTCTTATTTTATTTTTATAGTATTCATTTTCATGTAAAATAAACAGTTATTACTTCATAACTTTCAAACTTTCATCAAGTATTTGCTTTTATTACAAACCTTAATCATTTTCTTGCATTGCTTTAACACTTGCAACTTTTATCAATTGAATTTATAATTGGATATAGAATTAAAAACATTATAATTGTTTAACTTTGTACACCAGGGATTATTTTATGAGCATTTTTTATTATATCAAGAATAACCTAAAATATATTCAAGTTTCATGTATCAATCAAGTGTGTTATAAAACTAGGACATTAAATCTCAATACAATATTTTAATAAAGGAAAGTATGCATTATATATATATATATATATATATATATATATATATATATATATATATACACATACACAAACACACACTAATAATAAGTATGCATTTTGCTCCTCACTAATAACACAACTCAGGGTTTCATCAGCACCTGACAAATGCATCATGTGCCACTGGTGAGGAATAAAATGTATTCTATTATAATTTTGCTTGTCCCTTCCTGCCAATACCTCATAAATAATCAATTATTCCATTATGATAATGTGGAAAGAAGGGAAAAGACACTACTTGGTTTTGTGGGGAGAAAGAATCAGTTGATGAGAACAGATATTATACATTGATCTTATCCAAAAGGCTGAGAAGCAATGATGACAGCATAAAACGTGCCATATTTCAGACAGACAGTATCAAACTACAGAAACCAAGTCAGGTAATTTTTTAAAAATTATTATTAAGAGTAATGTTGGCTAGTATTTATTAATAGTATAAATTTTAACTCTCTTATTATACATCAAGTACTGTTTTATTACCATGAGGACAGTCTGTTTCATGCTCAAACACAATCTTCAGGACTGAAGATAGTGTTCAAACATGGAACAGACTGTCGAGACTCAATGTTGACTTTTATATTTACATATGTTCTATCCTAATATTGAGCACGTATATATATATATATATATATATATATATATATATATATATATATATATATATATATATATATAATAAATGCTAAATAATTTCTGCATGCTCAAAGAAATGTATATTTTTTATGATATTTGCTTATATACATAAGCACACATATATAGTTTGTATCTTATATAAAATATTGACAAGTCTTGAGAGAATTCTATTTGTGTAGGGATCGTGAATCCCCAAACTATTTCTGAAGACCATTTCACCAACGGAATGATTAAAATGTGGGGCTTGTGCTACCATCAAGCTGTTAGGTAGCAGCAGACCTTCCAAAAAATATGCAGAAAGAGTGGGAAGAGAGGGGGAAGACAAGATCATCTTTCAAAGGTACATACATAGGCAGCTTTTTCTCCATATGTTTGTCAGATCACATATCTATAGCAAAAACTTTGAGTGGAGGACACTGAATATTTGTCAGAAACGATGGTATTAATGAAACTGGGAAAGTGAAAAGAGAGTTTCAAAAAGGAGATGGACATAAAGAAAGTGAGAAAGATCATTTCTCATGTGATAATAGTTTTCATATTTTTCTTCCTTTCCTTTTTGATTGTTGGTTTCTTCTTCAAACTGCATTTCTTTTACCACTCTTTAGATTAGGGTGTTCTTTGAGTCAAACATTCGGGATGTAGATATTTTAAGCACTTAGAAAAATCAGTACATGTAGTCATATAAAAATATTTAACATTCTTATTAAAATTAAACAAAATTAGTGCATAAGTTCATCTTTAAAAGTTACAGTTCATTTTTTTTTTTTTTTATTTCAACATGGTTTCAAACAAGTTTTACACAGCATAAAAATCATAAGAAAAAGATAAATTTCATATTTACACTATGTATATTCAGACTATTGTCCTTATCTTTGTTGTTGTTATCTTTGGCCATTGTACCTTCCAGCCTTCCTCAGGTATATATCAATCTGGGTAATCTCCAGGAACCCTTTATTTAATCTATGGGTGTAGACTGTTCTCATTCCACTGTTCATGTCTAGGGGTAGTGTCTAGTTCTTATTTAAATAATGGTAACTCCTTGTCCCAGAAATTCAAACAGAAATACCTTTTATAGTCATGCAGACAATAGAAATGTCCATTTTAAAATGTTCTAATTATTTGTAAATTCAAAGTATATGTATGTATCAGAATGGACCTTTATTTCTCTGATATGTCTGATTTCAACTCCGCCTTAAATATGATCTGCACTGCCAGAGTTTCCTGAATACATCATTTCCAACAAACACTGATACGTCATAAAACCTAACAATTTCAGAAACAATCGAAAAAATTTATTTCTTAACAATCCACATATATGTATGTGTATGCATATACACACATACATACATAAACGTGTGTGCATTTATAATTATTTATATATATATATATATATATATATATATATATATATATATATATATATATATATATATTGCATGTGTAAGACTTTTATATTTTCACAGCCCACAGAGATAATGCATTTTAATTATAGGCAGAGTACATAGACACTAAACTGATCCTAAGTACCAGGGTCAGGGAGCACACCTATATACCAATCCTAAAAAGTGCCAAGCTGGTCATTTCTGACAGCTACAATACTAATAATTATAATAATCACAGTAAGATTTTAAGTTATTAGTTAAAATTAATATTCTGAAATATAAAATCTGAAATTAGTGGATAGAAGTTCTGA